CATCATCATCATCATCATCATCATCATCATCATCATCATCATCATCACCATCACTAACATTATCATCATTATCATCATCATCATCATCGTCATTGTCGTCGTTCTCATTGTCATCATTATCATCATCATCATCATCATCATCATCATCATCGTTAATATTATTACATTGTTCGATCGATTCTATGTTTGATATTGTTTTTCTTTTTACGATACGATTAAAAATAATCATTATATATTAATAAAAATCTTTTTCCACTTATATATATAATTTATTTTGGAATTTTAAAATAAAACTGTATAAAACTGTTAAACGAAAATAGTATTGTACGCGAAAAAACGCGTAAAAGAAATGTATTATGAAATTATAGTAAAAAGAAAAGTATTTGAATGTACGAATGTACGAATTTATTTTAGAAGTATTTTTTTTTTTTTTTTTCGTATTTCATACGTTGTAATTAGATTAAGCGTGTATCAATTATTATTTAAAAATGATTTGAATGTTTTCAATTATAATCCATTTGAGATGAAACTTTATCAAACGTTTTATCTGTCTAATAAAAAATAATTAATTATTTTGTAATCTTAATCGAATCGAAAGTTCGAAGAAAACAATTTATAGTTTATAGCGAAAGGATAAAAATGTAAAACAACGTTCGTGAGGTGACGAGGTGAGGTTAACGATACAATAACAAATTAATTGTCAAATACGAATAAAAAAAAATACCGTAAGAATCAAAATACGATTGAATATGAAAATAATTAAAACTCGTTTAACGACACGTTTAGATATTTATATAGATATAAGTGATATTTAGTGATATAAAAGTGTAATTAATAATATATAGAAATTCATTATCGTTAAAAACGATCTGAATATAAGAAAATTGTGAATTCGAATACAATCTTTTCTAATAATATTTTATTACGAAAAAAGAATGTAGTATCGTAAAGAAAATTTTATTAAAATGATGATATTGCGGATTAAAATATTATATTATTTGTAAGCAAAAGAGATATTCCCATTGTGATCGCGTAACTTAATATTTTTAATTTTACATACGAGATATTTAATTAATCGATATGAATAATTTGGCTGTTTGTAGCGTTTTTATAAATAAACTTTTGGCAACGATGCGAAAAAAATATATTGCCAAAGTGACGGTACTTGAACGCGAAAACATAACCTCGATACCGTATAACCTACCTTGAACGTAGAATACGGCTCCATATTTGTTCGTCGTTCAACCACGTGGAGGCGTTCTCACTGTCAGTCAACAGATGAAAAACTATGAAAAATTATATATAATAAAAAATTGATATATTACGAAACATGATTACAAAAAATTTTTGATTATATTTATTTGACGTAATATTTCGTAGCACATACGTGGTATAAAATGATATCTATGTCGACAGGTTCAAACATGAAAAGTTCAAAATTGGAATTTCGGAATTTGGAAAAATCGCAAAATCAGAATATCAAAAATACGAGATCATATACGTATAAAAAAATGGAAAAGTTATAACAAAATAATGATAATAATAGATTTGACAAATTATGCATATATATGGTAAAAATGTATAAAAAAAGAAAGGAATTTACTTTATCGATAATCTTCAATTTTTACACAGAAGAAAGATTTTTTTTTTTTTTTTTGACTTGAAATAAAAATTGATACATGTACATTTTAGAATTAATATTATTTCATCATCATATTCATATAAATAAAATCAAAATAACTTTAAAAAAAATTTTTTGAACTTTAAAACTTTTTTTTTTTTCTTAATTAATATTAATACGTATCTTAAAAATAAACGTACAATGCATATGTATAAAGTTGAAAAAGAAGTTGGTAAAAAAATAGAAATAATATTACAAAGATAGACGAAAAATAATATTTTTTTTTACTTATTTTTCTTATATGTTCATGAGGAGGATGTCACAGTTTTTATTGTGGCAAAAAGAAGAGAAAATAAAATGAAATATAGAATAAAAAGAAAAAAGAAAAGAGACAAAACAGAAATAGAAAGTTTAATTTATAAAATATGATGTAAAAATGTTGATTTCGGGGGAAAATTTAAACAAATATTCGAAAGAAGAAATAAGAGAGAGATTTATGTTGATAAATGCATGCATGCAATTGTAATCAATTTAGATATGTTACCCCGGGAACAGAGGGTATATATTCAAGGAACGACGCTCGAAATACTACTACTTTTATCCGGGCACCGGGCATAGTGCCCACAAGTAAGCTCTGTCTTTTCGACAATACACGTATCTTGCGAGATTTCGGCCATTGTAATTCGATTGTACATTTTTGTTCATTTCTTCTTACTTATATTCGATAATATTTTAAATAAGATCGGATAATTTATTTTCATTCGTAATTCGTAACGAAATTCGTCTAGAAGAAATATAAAATATTTAGTATTATTCAATAATTGCTGTGATATCAAGATTGTAAGTGTAACGTTGCAAGGTAAGTTTCCCACAAAAAAATCCACAATCGTGATAAATTTTTAATAATAAAGTTTAAATTGTTGGTTTAAACGATAATTATTATCACCAGTTTTTTCTTTTCTCTTTATCTCTATATCTCTCTTTTTCTTTTTTTTTTCTCTCATTTGTTTCCTTCGGTTTGGTAACAAACTAAAATAAGATTAAATTTAACAGATATACATGATTGATCGATAAAGATTGGCCAAAAATATCAAATCGTCGGGTTTTTTTTAAATTTTCAAAATTACGTAGAGAGAGAAATAGAGAGAGAGAGAGACGTAAAAATAAAAAGCACGATTGAACGGAATACCGATAAAATTCGAACAAGGAGTGATATGATAGCGATGGTGACGACGATTCGAAACGATCGATATCGATAAAAAAACTTTTAGATGGGGCGCAAAAAGCATCATCGAAGCAAAGGAAATAATTTATCGTTGAGAAGATCGAAATGCGATAATTGCGTTGACGACGGAGAGAAAGCGACGGAGGGGAAGGAGAGAAAGGGGGAGAAAGATGGAAGAAGCGAAGGGGATAAATTTTCGAGGAGAGGGGACGTGGAGGAGGTGCCGATCGATGCACGTTCCCGATCGATGAAGGCATTTTTACGGGACGACGACGTTTCGTCGACGTTTTGTCGACGGGAATCGAGCGAGGATGAGAGCGAGGAAGAGGAAGAGAGAGTGGAGTTGAAGGTGAGGCCGCGATTCGTATTCGCATCGAGCCTTTGCGCCGTATGTATGCGTAGATCGAAATTACTTTGCGAGCGTTGCCGAATGGTGTCTTATTGCTCGACCACTCATCGAGCGCAAGGATCTACGAAGCATCGCGAGTTGTGCGAACCGTTGAGCGAGATTCGTTCGTCGATGGCATCGATGCTCTCCTCCGATAAGTCGGGGAGCGCGGGACTCGATCCGGAACGGTATCGCGTTTATCGATTAAAATTGATCGCGTCCCTCGAGTCGAAGATCGGAAGACGGTTGGAGCTTTGGGAGAGGGAGATTATCCTATATCCGAGAGTTTGTCGGAGTTGCCGTTGCTTCGGCGAGGAATCAGCGACTTGTTGCTCTCGTTGCGGAATGGAATATTTTTGCGAGGGACACGGCGGGGGACACGAAAATTGGTGCGCGCAGTTTCAAATTTTCCAAAGGGTTTTACTTTTCCAGCATAGGCACGGTTGGGTCGATCCGAAAATTCCCAACGAATTTCGCCAAATATCCGTAACGCGATCCAATCTCGACCTCGACCGCTTATTATTCGAGATATACGGCAATTGCCCGTATTACAGAAACATGGATACTTACACGTACTCGGCGTTATCCCAATTGTGCACGATTCCACTGACGGCTCTTTATTCCACGCAAACTTGTTGTCCCGAATGGGGGAATAAGATCGAATGGACGATTCATCTGGTCGGCGCGGAATTTCAATTCGAAGGTATAAATTTGCGCGTTTGGGAAAAATTGTTCCTTCATTTTTTACCAAATTTAAAGAGGCTCCGTTTGATCTTGATCGGTCCGGAATTGCGATTGCCGAGTGGCGTGCCACCGAGACTTTTATCCACGGTTCGATTGTGCAACAAGTGTAAATCCGCCGGTAGAGCCGTTAACGTTACGTTTAAACCGGAGATGCTTTATCACGACGCGGTTGAACGTCTCGCTGCGCCCGATCTAATTTGTATTTACAACCCTGGCCTCTACCGAAAAACCGGGTTCGAGGGGAAGGATAGCTGGTTCGAAACGATACGCGAGTTTTGCAAAGCATCGGTCCCCGTTGCCGTCACCTCTTACACGAAGCACGAAATCCTATGGGAGATAGCTCGTATAAGTTCCGTCGCGGATGCGCAAGTCGTGTTACAACCGCGTCGAAATCCATTTGCGTCGGTGAAACCGGACCGAAACTTTGTCAGCGACGATACCGATCCTCTTATCTACAAGAATTACTATCTCACCATTGTAAAAGGTGAATCGACCAACGATCGGTCGTAGCAGGTCGAAAGCATCCAAGCATCTCTTCTGAAACATTCTTTATTTCCATTCTTTATTTCCATTCTTTATTTCGAATGAAAACTTCGTTTCGAAACAATTGGTTGCTATTGCGTTCTCTTATTATCTACCGCACCGATTCGACGCTTTCCTCGAATTTCTATGTAGAGAATTATTACACGATAATAATATTTGCAACGTGTGAAAAGACCGATTATAATTATATAAAATATTCGTTTTGTTTTGGATACATACAAATCGCAAGAGTGAATATTAAATTATACAATTAGGGATTATTACGAGCTAGTTTGCGTATACATATCTATATCACAGACGAAACTGTTAATTAATATATGTTTCGATACGTTCGAATGATGGAACGCTTGTAAACGCATTATATCTAGATACTTACGCAGCTTATGCGTGTACGTATGCAATATATATAATTCGACTAAATACACGTACAATAAATATACGTATATAATAAATTGTACCTAACATTAAAACATAACATTCGAAACGTGAAAATTATGTACATAATCAAGGGATAAGGTGTATCGTCCATCGCGTTTCAGATCATAACGTACGATTAATTTACTTAACGTACTCACGTGTCTCTTTGCTTGTTTTTGTACTGTTTTCAAACTCGAAGGAAGAAGAGGGAAAAGTAGAAGAAAAAGAAGAAGAAGAAGAAGAAGAAGAAGAAGAAAGAAGAAGAAAAAAGACGAAAAGCGGAATAGAAAGACTCGAGGGTATGTAATTTAACATTATACGTAGGTATAAATTATAATTGAGTAAGTGTGCGCGAAGGTACGGATTAATGAGAAGAAAAATAGTAGTATCGGAGATGCGAATTAATTATACTATATGTAATGTCCTCGACGCATGGAATCAATAGCGATTGACCACTGTTGAGAGAAGCAGCAACATCAAGAGAGACACAATGGATGAATTGGTATTACGATTCACCGAGTTGGCCAGTTGGTAGAAGTAACGATTGTAAACGTTGTCACAATGGGAAGGCCAGTCTTTGAAGCACGCCGCATACGCCACTACGTGAGCGATATAATTTTGTTCAAACGTACCGCGAATCAAGTGGGAATACGGACCTAGGAAAAAATCGAACGTACATCTTTGAATACTCTGGAATATGAATGAATATCAAAAACGAGAATATCTTGGAAATTTTCATGCGAATGTGTGAATATTTATACTCGAATGTACGGATGTAATTATACTGTATATAGATAAAAAAAAAGAAAAAAAGAAATAAAAGAGAGGATAATAATACCTATCGCGTAAACTCCTACATCTTCGCCTCCGTGTGTCTCGTCCTCCAAGTATATACCAGCCATTTGAGTGTAATATGGATCGTCGCGTGTCTGGTCCCGATCGACGGGCCTCCACGTTTCGTTAACGTTGTTACTATCGTTTCGTCGATGGTAAAGGAAGCCCGGACCGTTGATGTAACTGAGCGTCTCGTAAGCCGGCACGTTCGGTTTGGATGGATCATTGGCGAAACCGAGGATATCGTTTCCTCTCTTCGGATAACCGTTAATGGTGAACGCGTGGGAATGATCGGCAGTTACGATCACCAACGTTTCTTCCAATTTGACCAGTTGAAGAGCGGTCAGTATCGCCTCCTCGAGCTCCGATAATTCTCGCAACGCCAACTTTGCGTAATTATGATGATGGGCCATGTCTATTCTCCCGCTCTCGACCTGAAACCATCACATTTCTTTCAATACAGGTAGGAAAGAGAAAGGGGAAAGAAAGAATCGAGCGAAAGAGAATTTTGAAGTTCGAACTTACCATTAAAAGGAAACCGTTGTCGTTCTTTCGAAGCAATTTGATAGCTTGTTTGGTCATATTGGCCAAACTCGGCGTTTCTTCGGTTTTGACGGCGTGATAGGGAAGGTGATTAGTAGCGAAAATTCCAAGAATTTTCGACGTGTTGGCGATATCGACGGAGAAAAGTTGTTCGGTGTTGGTCACTACTCTCCCGTCAGGGTTACTTCCCTCCCAGTATTCCGCCAAATTTTTCCCATCTCCCCTGACGCACGTATCTGGATCTATCGGTTCCATGGGTAAACCTAAGAGTTGCGCTCCACCGCCCATGATTACCTATTATTTTTAATCGTCCAATAACGATAAAATGCCACCGTTTCGTTCGAAGGATCAAAGATGCAAAAACTTGACTACTTACCTTAAACTTGTTCCCCGGCTCATCCTCCATCAATTGTCTTCCAATATCCTTCACGCAATCTGTGTATTGTTTCGGTATCGAGGTATCGCATTCCCAATCCCGATTATTCACGTGAGCGTACAATCCTGCCGGTGTGGCATGGGTGACCCGAGTCGTGGTTACGAATCCTATATTTCAATCGTTGATTCAATTTTTGGATAAATAATAATATTTTTCGAGATAAGATATGTTTATTTATAACGATGTATAGAGGGGGAAAAGGAAGAAGGAAAAAAAAAAAAAAAAGAGAGACCTATATATGGCGACCTAGATAAAACGGAAGGTCGTCTCGCAATCGTTCCTCTGCCGTGTCGTTTTTTAAAGGCCTGTCGGACGTTTAACGTTTAACACCGGTAGTCGACCGTGAGTCGATCGTTGCTGCCACCCGAGTCACGTTTGCGCGCGTGCTGCTTTTATCTTTAACGTATCGATCGTTCGCGCGATTCGGCGGTTACTCGTGTTAAGTTGTTTACTTTTTTTATTTCTCTTCCTTCCAAACGATCGCTTACCCGTGTCCATGCCACTTTGTTGTGCCCAATCCGCGACGGTTGTAAGTTTGCTCGCTTGATCGATCCGCTTGTCGCATTGATTGAACGAAGATCTCGTGTCCAATCCGATAACCTTGTAACGACATTTCACGCCGGAAAATATCGCGGTAGCTGTCCCAGCCGAATCTGGAACTTGCTTGTCCGTGTTGTAAGTCTGTAAGAAAGAAGAAGGAGAGGAAGAAGGAAGAGAGAAAAATTTGTGAAATATTTTATTTCTCGATAAACGAGGTTGAAATTGATTCGATGTGTGTATATGTATATATATATGTATAGTAGATGTAAATACCTTGGCGAATCCAGCGTTGGGAAACATTTCGAATGCCAATTTGTATTCTTCGCCGGTGTTACCCTTGATTTGGCCTTTGTAGATTCGACCCGCCGTGATCGTAGAAATTCCCATCCCGTCTCCAATGAAAATAATAATATTCTTCGCGCGATTTTCGTTATTTCGATGAGTTAGGATTCTTCGAAGATTCTCTTGGCCGGATTTTAGCCAATAGGACATATCTACGAATCGTTTCGATCAAAGAAGGAAAGAGAATGAAATCATGATTAAGTGAAAGAAGCAATGATACCTTCGTAATCGGTCGCGTTTCGAGGTAGAGGGTTGACAAATCCCATTAGGGAACAGATTAATAATAAGAGCACTCGCTTCATGTTCGTGGAACGTGTAAATCTGTAACAAATCGTATATATCGCTAATCTCGCTTCTTCGATGATGCAAAGTGTCGTAAAAATGTTATCTCTTATATCAGCATTACATATGTATGTAAGGTATGTTGAAATAGCGACGAAAAAAGAGGAGAAACGAAAGAAAAGGTGATGATATTTCGATACGAGTTATATGCTACTCTCTTGTCGCGCGATTTATTTATTGAAAGGTAAAATGGAGATTTATGACGATTCAATGGAAAGGAGAGGCGATGACATTCGGTCCAACTATACGATGAATTTTCTAATCGATCACTGCCCATAATATATATAAATATATACGTATATATTTATATAGCGATTGTAAGCAGATTATAGCTATTCTTCGTTCGTTCTTTGTAATTTAAGGTTTCTTTGATTCGCGCGTTCGCCGATTGGATAATGGCGGGTTGGAAAGGAAATATAAAAAGCGACGTTTGAAGCGGGAACGTTTACTCTCGGATTACGCGTGTTGGCGCGTGTCGGACAGGTTGATAGAAATGGAAGGGATACGAGAACGAGCGACAAACGAGCGATGAAAAGGGGAAACGTTAATATTCGGGTCAGTCAGCGGGACGAGTTGCGATACTCTATCCTAGAGCCGGTGGCAAGGCTATTGTATAGGGTGCACGAGTGATATAATCGTTCGTAATGCTCGAATGCGAGTGTAATATAGAATCGACCAAGGATAGTCGTGGTAAAAATCGTGCAGGTAAGTAGCAATTTATTCGTGCAACGAATAATGGTAATGCGACACTGGTGAAAATTACCTAATTTGAATAACGTTAATGCGCAAGTGTGAATCACGAACGCGCGAGAAAAAGCGCGTATTCCTTCCCTCTGTCTTCCCCGTAAATTAAATGCGTAAAATAGATTTTATTCTCGTATAGATCTCACGACGTGGTGTCATCGAGTCATCCTTGGATCGGTTGACGCGGAAGCAGAGAAGAGGAGTATCGATCGGTGAGTCGGTCGGTCGTACGGTCGCGTGGCACGATTCGTCCTCGCCCTTGGAGAAGATGATGGGATGGTCGTTCGATCCGAGATGGTAGAAAAAAGTTGGAAAATCGTTATCGTCGTCCGATTCGATATTACCCGAGCGAAACGCGATACCGTATTAACGCCGATACAGCGCAACCAAGCAAGTTTGTCACTTTATATAGCGTTTCAAAGGCCCTGGTAGATTGTGTACACGAGGTGGAGAGCGTGCAAGGGACACTGAGAGTACAGATTCTCGAGGAGAGACGTGGTTTGGGGAGAAGGGGAACCCCTCGTGTACCGCTAATCCGAGCGTAATTGAACAGCTCGCTGCCATTATGTCTTACGTCCGCAAAAGATTAATACGAATCTCCAACCGTGATCTTGCAACTTCCATTTTCCCTTCTTCTCCTTTACCCTTTCTTCCATTCCTTTACCACCCCTCCCCTCCCCATATCTCTCTCTCTCTCTCTCTCTCTTCCGA